AAACTTCTAGTAGAAACCAATGTGGTACCTGTTTCTACAGCAGATAACAAAACTACTRGTTTGTTGTATTCCGTTTCAGTATAAATCCCTCTTGAGCCTKTCGACATCCTTTACCACGGGGCTGACGGCATGGGAGGCTACTCAAAGCGTGTTTATAAATTATGAATTGATAGTGATGAGAGTGATGATAGATACTAATTAAGTATATAACATTTGTACCTGTTTTCAAAAACATTGTCTTCTTTGGAAAAAAAGTTAATAAGTGTAAGGTTTAAGTCTTAAGTAACTATTCCAGACATTTTGTCTTTGACAAGAGAAWGTTTCTCGCCATGCTGGCAGTGGTAAGAAAAGTCATTATGATGTAATTACTATCTTTGAAACAGGTTACTCTTTTTTTATACAAACATGTGTATTTTAACACTGAGTGTATATGAAAGCGACTCATACTGAAATAAATATAGATATGAAACTGAGACATGTCATCCGAACATTAAATATACCAATGACTAAGTCTTTTCCAAGATGGAAATAGTTGTATAATTTCATTAGCACAAGATCTTCTCTTCAACTACAATCAACGTTTGCGCATATCACTCTAGGACCTCGAATCGAACTTGTAATGTTGTTTATATTTTATTGATATTGATTATCTTTAAGGTAGAAGTTAAACTTAGAGTCTTCTAAAGTGAGCTCGGTAAAAACGCTGATTTTTCCGTTAATCCYCCACCCCACMCTCCATGAGTAAGCGAATGCTGATTGGTCTAAAAAATTCCCCTTTATATAGTGCAGGGGCCCTTGTGATAAGATATCTAAGATACCTTTCACTTATGAAATATCAAGTTTTTAGTGTTAGAAATAATTCCTAGAGGATATTTCATTGACATTTATTTAATAAAAAAAGAATATTTCCAGCGTTGCCTATTTCGGTGTATGGACCACTTGATCGTGTGATATCACGGGCCTCGTCTTGGATCTTACAGAATTCTATATTTATGAGGTCATATTTATCTTTCGAGAATTACGTGAAAAATCAAACTTATATGGTCACAACTAAGCGATGACTTAGTCAAAATCATTTCCGAAATTATGCAAGATCACAGAATGCCCACGCAGTTTGTTAAAAATGCATGCTTCGGTCAGCACACCAGTCTCTYTCGCTCTGTGATGCTCTGCCTCTATGCAAGCAAAGAGTAGCTCCATTGGATTGGGAGGATAGTTCCATATTAGTAGCTTAATAAAGTATTGAAGTGGAAAAATGAAGGGATATCACGCACCCAAATTACATCATTGAACGGAAGGGAAACATTATGTCATGTAATAACATCCGGGGTTTTAAGTTTTAGCTCGAAGGGAATGGGACGAGCCCTCTGGTGACGAGCATTATTTATTGCGCAGCTTGTATTTTTCTACTTATGTTTTGCTTGTCAGCAAAAAGCAGACTTTGGGGGATTTTTTGAGGATATTCACGTCTAAACGGGGTTTTACCGTTCAATGTTGGYTGCATATCGCTAAGGATTGTTGTCTTTGCTAAAATGGASGAAAACGTGAAAGTTAAAGCCAAATTCAAGGGCACAAGTCGTCGATTCGAAATCCCKTCTACTTTGACATGGATAGGATTACTTGCTCAAGTAAGCATTTCTTGTTACTTTTATATAGTACTTTGCCCTATAAACTCGATTGATTCTAGTAAGGTTTGTAAATGATTCTTTCTTTTAATATTGTGAATGTTAATTTATTATGTGTTTTCTCGAAGCTTCGACAGTTGTTCGATATTCAAGATGAGTTCCTTGTTAAGTATTGTGACGACGAAAGCGAATTGGTATGTGAACTTTGGTCCAAAACTGTTGTTTATGCAACTACAGAATTCTGAATTTTCGTTGTATTTTTTTTGCAGATATCAATCAACAGCCAAGGTATCGAAACTTGCATTGAAACCTGATTTGCATAACGAAATACTAGGATTTTAAACGATATTGCCATGCATATTTGTATTATATAAACTTAATATATATTATAATGCTTCGCAATATTAAGTTATTGCTTCGGGATCACTTTATTACGGTGTGCTCTAGGTTGATATTTTATAACATGAATAGAGTGAAAACGAAAGAAACACATGGGATTTCTGAACAATTAATCTAGATAAAGTTGTATATGTGTATAAATGTGGAATTACTTTATTATTTTATTGACAATGAATTTATTTTATCTTTGTAGAGGAACTCGTTGAAGCAATAAGGGTAAGAAAAATTCAAAAGATTTTATATCATCAATCTTAGTTAATTGTATAGAGTTAGTTGAACTAATAATCTTTATCAATACATTGACATTATAACTATTCATTATGAAGATAATCAAGTACTCCCCAGTGTAAAATACATTTTAAATCAACAAAATCCTRTTGGATTATTGAATGAAAAAGAAAATGTATATAGTGCCAGTATTATTTAAACTTTTTCCTTGTAGCTATGCAAGAAGACATCAAGGCTTTTGTATTTGCATCTTGAAGACCCATTCTCACAACAAACAAGTGACTCATCATTGTTAAACTTGGAGCAAACAAATATTGTAAGTAGGGCAAAAACTTTCAATGTTGTTCTGCATTGTCTTTGGAATAAAAAATGATGCAAAGACATTGTACAGAACATAATTAGTGTGGACAAGGGATTGTCTTGCTTTCAATGTATATTTGATTTTTTTATGTGATGGTTTTAGGCCAAACGTAAAGCTAGAGACCACAAGGAAAGCAAAAGTTCCTCTTGTTACACTGATCTTGCTTCAGCTATGGCCGAAGAACTAACAGCATTGAATTCACGATTGGAGAAGTCATCAACACTGCAGTCAAATAAAAGACAGAATTCTGAACAGAATAAACAACAGGTTATACCTAATAATGAGGTAAATAAAATCAAATGWAAAAGAAACAATCATTCCTGGATATTGAACCATGTATGATCTGGAATTAAGTATATGTTGAGATCAAGTTGGATTGTTCTTTACACTGACCACAACATGGATTTTAACAATAAGGTAGAATGAGCCACTCTGTCTTCCCCAAGGTTGTTAAGTCTAGTCACCATTTTGGGGTTCTAGCAGTAGAAATAAAAGTAGACGTCACAATAGGATATAAGTACCCATCAAAACAAGGGAGCATGGCAAAATGTGTTGTTTTTTGTGTTTTCAAGAAAAAGGGGTGAGCTAAATAATAGGAAAAGTACAGCCAAATAATTTGCAAATGAATTCGTATGTAGCTGACGATTAACTAAAGCTATAACCGGCGATTTTTGCTGGCTTCTACAGAGAACCCTACCATTTGTTTTCCCTATTTAAGGGAGCTGTTTTCCCTATTTAAGGGAGCTGATATCCCAAAATAGATTGTGATCACAGTGTGAGCTTGTTTATTTGATGGACATTTTGTACTACTTGTATAGTTTGTTTATTCTGTATGCTGTATGTAATGACTCTTATGGGTGTTTTCAGGTTCAGAACAAAAACCAGGGTAATAAGAAGAAGAAAAAGAAACAAGCATCTTGTTACTCTGATCTTGCTACAGCTATTGCACCAGAACTGTCTGCCTTAAATGAAAGAATGTCTAATAAGGCTGAAAAAGACAAGGAAA